ACAAACAAACAGGAAAGACAGATCAAATGATGATGACATTTTTGGTGTTTTGCTACACATTTAAACCTGCTACTAAAAATCTGGGAATAGGTTTTTGTTGGATAAGGAAAGTAGCTCTAAAATTTAAATGAGGAGAATGCACACATATGTGAACTCTGGTGAAATTCCTTTATCACATTGTTATTTATGTATTTTACATCACTTATTATATAAAGTAGATTGTTGAATGTTATGACTAATGTTAGAAAAATCAACCTGTTTAATTGGCATAAAAAATTTTTAAAAAGTTCTTATTCAATTAAATGTATGAAATGTAGCTTCATACTTATGTTGGATGAATAAGTGGTATATGAAGTCTTTTAGCTTAGAAAGGTGAGTAAAGACTTCACAAAGTTTCAACAATTGTCAGGGATGGACCTACTGCTAAAGTTATCAACCAGTTTTGTTTTTGCATCATATGACCTGCAATTCTGTGGGAAAACCATCCAGTATTGATAAGATTGGGCTCAAGAAAAACAGATGGCACAAGTACATATTGAGATGGAACTCCATGGTGTACTATGGAGATTGTCTAATACATTATCCTCATCTGCTGTGGTGATGAAACATGCTGATTACTGTCCAGTAATTGTGTTTCACTTCCTCCAACAAATATTTGACCAAAAGCTGGCATTGTTTCTGTATTGATGTATAATTATGGGCAATTAGCTCCTTAGCTTCCCATTGGATTTGTCATTTAAAAAGTAAATGGAGTATAAATAACTAGAACTAGCTCTATCATTAGGATTAGTTCAGCTGTACTGTGCTCAAATGCACTAGCTAAGGATTGTGAGTTTTGGACTCAATACAGTATTAGGATCTCTTATTATTTCCAGTGGTGATTATCAAATAGAAGAAAGGTACACCAAGGTTTTGTGTGGACTTAAGGTTGTAACACATGTTCATGTCTTTCTTCTACCAAGGGCAGACAAATGTTTTCATGTGCTGGAAGGTGCCCATTGGTTTAACATTTATACTTAATTCTGGATGATATGAATGATGAGGGCAAACCTGAGACTGCTTTCAGCATTCATAATGACTTGTATGAATTTTGTGTCATGCTATTTGGTCTGACACTTTCAAGCAGTATATGGATCTAACACTGAGAGGACAGCAATGGGAAAATGTTCCCTTGATAAGGATAAAATTTTTATGTTTGGCTGCACATTTACCTCCTGCTACTAAAAATCTGGAATGGGTTTTTGTGGGATAAGGAAAGTAGCCCTAAAATTTAAATGAGGAGAATGCATACTTATGTGAACTCGGATAAACTTCCTTGATTATATTGTGCTTAGGTACAAAGTGTGTGCTGATCATGCTAAGCTTGTACCATTCAAAGATTGTTCCCAACCCATAACAAAATGGGAAAACTGCAGGTTTTGTATTGTGCTATTGATGATACATGGTCAACTTCTCCTATATAATTGCACTGTTTTCTGCAATGACCAAAAACTGAAAGGTCTCTGTATAATGAAAATGGAACATTATTGCTGCCAGTAGTGACATAGTTGAACACCTAATACCTTATGCTAGTTATTTACTAATAGCTTCTGAGTGTTATTTACACTATTTGTGCATGACAAAGAACTCCATGTAAATATAGTAATTATTAAATAATTGCTGTCATTACTTGTATGGTAGGAAATTCACTATTCATGAGGATCATACATCACTGAAATAACTTATAAAGCTCAATCTTTAGATTTTATAATCACAATGTTGCAACAGCATGGTAATGCAAACATCTTGTCTTGCCAGATGGGGAGAGCCTGTCTGCTGAATATATAGATCCTGGAGAGGTTTGAATTTCTTGTAATTTTGATGGTTGTATGAGGATACATAGCACTATTATCAGAACATAGCCAGTAGAAGAAATTGTTTAAGTTGTCATCATTGCTATATGCAGGTCATCAGGTTTTCTGTCATACAGTGTTGGTATTTGGAATAGTTTAGTATGTGGTGTTGAAATATATGTACATGATATTGCCATGAATGTTGCCAAAGCTGAGGAAGTCATAAAAAAAAGGCAAATCCAAGTTAAGTAGTTAGCATACAGGATCACCTACAAAAGTTGTATTATTTTCAAAACGAGACCCAAAACTAGAGTGCTTTTGAATAGTTGACTATTCTTCTTCAAAAGAACAATAATCAACTAGTCAAAAGTGCTCGAGTTTTGGGTTTTGTTTTGAAAATATTATAAATAAAAAAGACAACATAGACTAACAAAAGGTTCATAACAGCCCTGGAAATTTTCTTCTTACAGATGAAGTAACATCCTTTTCTAGATGAGACCATTTTTTAAAGTGTTTCCTTAAACTTGTCACTGGAGAACTATAAGGATGTTTTACAAGTTCTTGGATGATTACCTTATAAAACTGAAAGAAGTGTTTCACTCAAATTTATTATAAAGTTGAAAATATCTTCCTAAAAGTTATTTTGTAAGACCTAAAGGGGTTTACTAAATGTTTTGCTAACAGTTAATGTCTAGAGCTAAGTGTTTAACTAAACAGTTTTGTATACAGTGTGAAAGATTTCTTATGATTTTGAGAGTACCTGTTATATGTATTGTACTGAACTCTTTTTGCTTTTTTGTATATGGCTTAAAGAGATGTAAAAATAAGGAAGTGTTTTATCAATATGATGGAAGCAAGTACTTCAGTATTTTTTTTATAAACCATCAAAGTACATGATTGTAGACATGAAATGCTATGCTTCGTTAGTGTTGTAAATGAGGCTTTTGACAGGTTTGCCTTATAAAAATAAAAGTAGAAGTTTACAGATATTTGATAAAAAAATATAAAATTTAAGTGATTTTTAGGCCATTTTGTTCATGTATTTATTCTCCTCTTTGTTAAAAGTTTATTTCAGTGTTGTATGTTATCAAATGACTTTTCACTGAATTTTGAACATGTATGTTAACAGGTTTTAAGTACTTATCCCATTTACACGTGTCACAAAGTATAGTTGTCCAATGCGATCGATCGTATGTTATCACATGTAAAGAGGGTTGAGAACTTTGTGTCTAAACACTTCTGGACCATAACCAAATCATAACTCCTTGTCAACATGTACAGTCACACACTATCTGATGACCACCATGAATCTTGTCAATAATCCTGTTGTGAAGTATGTGTTACAAAAGACTCCTTCATAGGTTTTCATGTCCAAAGCACACTCATTCTTCCATGCTGAATATCCATAATTCATCTAATGTAAGAGGACGCCGATATCCCAGTTCCTGTTTCAATTGTCTACTTGCACAGAAATCCATAGATATTTCATCCAATGATTTGTCCAGCATATATTCATATGGAATAGCTGCTTGAGGAGTATGGTTGAACTGGAAGTATGGCTGTAAGTCTTATCTTGGTGAAACAATCCTCAGTTGGTCTTGTTTCCATTCAAAGCCAGTATATGTCTATGGTACAAGGAGTCTAGAACATTGTTCTTACAGTAATCAAGTTTTACCTTGCTTGACCTTTGTATCTACTCTCCTGATCCAAAATGTCCTGATGCAGGATCCAGTTATTATGTTACACATATGCTTCATTGAGTGTCACTACACACTGCCATTTTCCCCTTGCTGGTACCATTTATACAGTTTTTAACAGTCAGTCTTCCTTTCCTGGATATGTCTTGGAAGCAACTTGTGTCACTTTTCCAGATGAAGATCCATCTTTATTACATTTCACACTGTTGCCTGGGGCATGTAAAAGGCTTTTTTTACATTGACCTTTGTGTTCATGGTTTCTCGTCTGTTACAAGACACTGCACTTTGCTTACTGCAACTTAGATATGACTTGTTGTAGGTCTCTTTCTGGATGGTACTGGTGCTCCAAATGGATTAATATTCCTCTGTTTTCCAGTGCATATGTATGATCTGAGTGTATGAATATTTTGCTATTACATACCCTCCCCAAAAGTGATTATTTCTTAGTGGTATCACACTATTTACAAAGTGCCAAACAGTGTTAAAATATAGTTCTGGTACATGCCATTCTACCATAATTTTATATCACCTGTGGTTTTTACATATCATTTTAATATTACTTAACCCTCTGTATTTGGCTGGTTTATGTTTTTTAATATTATCTTAGTTTTATTCTTTTGATTTAAAAACTAAGGTCAGGAATATCCTTAAGGTGCAAGGAGGAAAGTTATATTTGGAATATTTCTAACTCCTTATTTTTAGCTTTAAAAGGTGAACTTGTTCATAAATTGTTTTCAAAGTTTTTCACACTTACAAGCATTGAGCAGATAAGTGACTTTGAACTATGTTGATTTTTTTCATAAATAGGTAAAGCATTTTATTGCATTGTGAATCTTTATTATTACACTTTCTGCTATATCTCTTCTTAGAGCAGTTGCTATACTTTGCTCTATGAAATCAGTATACCTGAGAATTTTACAAATGTACTCTGAAAAATGAGATATACCATTTTTTTATTTTTAATTCATAGTTGATATTCTCTAGTAAAACTCAGTTTGAAATTTTGTATAAAACTTTGTACTAATTAGTGTCAGTTTTTAACTAAAGCTGAGCAATTATCTTGATTAATTGATTTAATGATTTATCAGAGTAAAATAATATATTAATTGAAATTATGATTAATCAGTTAATGTTGTAAAATAATCACTTACTTGAAATTCATTTTTCTTATAATTTTGTATTATTCCAGCTATCCAAATCATGTGAGAATAATCAATTAGTTGAATTGGTTAATAAATTCCACTAATTCCTCAGCTCTATTTTTAACAACAATGTCAATACATAGTGAAATATTAGCTATAGTCTTCTTAAATTACTCTAAAACTTTTTAATTAAACAATATAAAATTTTATTTCTAAAGCTAATGAAGTGTACAACTTAAAAAATAGTTTTTATTATAGTTTGTCGAGATAAGATGACTAATACTTGTAATTACATGAAGATGGAGTTTCTTTATTGATCTTTTCTCTAGCCAATGGAACATACCATTTCAAAATTCTGGTCCCTTCGGTGGCAGCAGGGGCCATCATTGGGAAAGGTGGAGAAACAATCGCTCAATTACAGAAGGAATCAGGTGCACGTATTAAGATGTCAAAGGCTAACGACTTTTATCCAGGTTAGTTTATCTCTGTGAAACCATCTCTACTTAAAAAAATTTGTTTAGTAAAAGTGAAAAACTGTATTAAAGTTCATAATTACCAATCTATTATCTGGTCAGTTTTTTTACTGAGAGATATAGCAGGACAGTTATCTTATTTGTTAATGAATATTTTTAAATAAATATTATAAATTTAAGAGAAAAAATTATAATACTATTAGTAGATTTAAAATTGTAGAACAGATATTATAGGTTTCTCTCTTTTTTTTATAATAATATAATGAACATGTATAAAGTTTCTCTTGATGGAGGAAAGTAAGGTAGAATTGTTTTTCATGTGTAATCTTTGAACCATAATGTTAATGTAGACATTTGTAGAGAGCCACAAATTGATCTAAATTCATGTAACATGGGTTTCAGTTAGCGTAATAAATTGAACACTTGAAAAATTTATTTTAATTAAAACATCAATAGATATAAAAACCTTTACACTTGATTGTTCCTTCTCTCACAAGAGCACAGCCGCAAGTGACTAGAGTATTATGATATAAATGTTTGTGCAAATTTTTCTCAAACAATTTGATAAGTAAATGTAAAAAAGAAAGTGTGAGGGTTAGAAATTAATCACTAAGACTTCAATGAACATTTATTGAAATTCATAGAAGGAATTTACATGACTTCCAGCAAACTTTAGAACTTGCTTTTCAGAATCTTAACCTTTAAAACCTGTGTAATTCCTCAATGAGTCTGTAATACCCCAAAACAGCATGTTTTTTTAAAGCTTCAGCCTGTAAAAAATATACGTGTACAGAAAGAGAATTTTTTGATCTTCATATAAAATGAGTTCTTAGTTGTAGTTTTCATACATATGTTCTGAAGCAGACACTCGTTGCAGCTAGTGAAACATGAAAATTCTTATTTACAAGGTAAGAAATATTGTCAAACTTAACCTTTATTTTAAAGACTGTCTTTGTTAACCTGAAGATGACCTAAGAAGGTTGAAACGTTGTTCTTATACTTTATTTTAATTAAAGTTTTTAATACCCATACCAGCTGTCTCTGCTATACATGGGAATGTATTGTTAGGCTCATTACCCAAGTTTATGGATCATTTAGTATTCTTAAAGGTCTTTACAAATTCAACCCTAGAATGCCAGTGTGGGGTCACTATGACCCCTACAAGTTAAACCTATATACTAAACTAATCATGCTGGCATTTTACGGTTAAAAAAGAAATGAATTCATAATGAAATTGTAGGAACAAGGTGTGCCAGAAGTATGTTTTTGTTTATTCTTTAAAGTACAGTAGTCATTATGTGGTTACACAACTAATATAATCAACTGATTAACAGTATGCACTTCAAGCAAACTATTTTGTAAAATTAGGTACAACAGAAAGGGTATGTCTTATTACTGGAAGTCTAGAAGGCATTACTAGGATACATGAATTTATAACAGAAAAAGTTAGAGAAAAACCAGATCCTAATGCAAAAATGGCCATTGATTTTGACCACAAACAACCAGCTGAGCGAGAGAAACAGGTAAGAGAATTTCAGGTAGTAATAAATGTCAAAGTACATTCAATCCCGTTTTAATAAACTTCTTAAAATGGATTTTTAATTTCATTATATTGTTTAATGCATGGGTATAAATCTTGTTTTAGGAGAAAATACAATTTTAGAGTTTGTTTGTCAAAACTTATAAAGGGAGTATTAATTAATTTAATATTTGTACCATAATTATGTTGGGCTGATGTAGTTTTATTGTCCATAGTATTTCTGGTTAAAAATCATTTAGTTGCCATTCTGTTTTTGTTTTATTTAGAAGTGCACTACTTTCATTGTTTTTGGTTTAATTCAGAATTGCATTACTGTCATTCTGTTTTTGCATTTTATTCAGAATTGCACTACTGTCATTCTGTTTTATTCAGAACAAGCTAAGGTACTTGTCCTTTGTTCGGGTTATGAACTTAAAAGAATGTGTGGGTGGATGCTGTGATAAATAACATAAATCCTAACTTCCACATGATTTTTTTAAACATATAATTACAGTATTCATTATTACCTCACCAAAAGATTTATACAAGCTTTAACAACTCAATATGTATATACTTAAAACATGGTATACACTATGCAATGGTCAGGGTTACTTTGTTGGAAGAGGTAGCAGCCAAAGTAGTGGCAGTAGGGGTTGTGTGTTTTCTGTTACCCACTTTCAACACCCATCTCTTAATGTCCTTTCACGGTGTTTCACATGATTAATTAATTGATGATGATTGACCACAGAAGTGTCTTATGGGCCAAAGTTTGAAAGGTCATGGGTGAAAGTAGGAAGTGGGCATACCTCAAAAAAAGGTTCTCCAGTTTTTTTCACTGCATTCCTCCACAGAAAGTCCTAGCACACTCTCTGAGATACCTTTGTGTGCCTGTGAGTGTGTTATTTTATAGAAAATGTTTTTATTTTGTTTATTTGTGTGTATGTAAGGACGTAGCACCATCTATGAATGTAGTTAACGTTAACTTACGGCAAAGATAATAAATGCTTAAATAACAGCAATAATGGGGAGATGGAGAGGTTTCTTAACCCTCATTAACATGCTTCTTTGTTCCATACTATCATTTCACAAGGCCCAGTGGCATAGGAGGAGTTAATTTATGGACAGACAGACAGACAAACAGAGTTTTGTGTTTTATTCAGAATTACTAATGCTCCCATTTTGATGTAAAACAGATAATTCAGTTACTTTTTTCTTCTTTTTTGTATTTTTCTGATGGTATTAGGTACCTCTTTAAAACGTTTTCTGTGGGAGTTTATGAATACCCATTACTCTTCTTTTTCCTTTTTATGGCAGTATGTCAATAATATCTTTTATATTTGTTTTTGTTGTTGTTTTTAAAATGTTGATTATTTTTAGTTCTTCTTTGTTTTGTTTTTAACTAAAAAGTACTGCTGTTCTTAAAAAAAGAAGTATGTTATGGAATATTTTTTATTCCATACTTTCTTTTGTACATTTTAGGTCAAAATATTAGTTCCTAACAGCACTGCAGGAATGATTATTGGTAAAGGTGGAAGCTATATCAAACAAATAAAGGAAGAAAGTGGTGCTTATGTTCAGATATCTCAAAAATCTCGTGATCATGCCTTAGCTGAGAGGTGCATAACTGTGATAGGAGAGATGGAGAACAACAAGACAGCTTGTAAGTTAATACTAGCCAAAATTGCAGAAGATCCTCAAAGTGGCAGTTGTCTTAATGTTAGTTATGCAGAAGTTTCTGGTCCAGTAGCCAATTTTAATCCTACAGGTTCACCATATGCTTCCTCAAATGGTGGCCAGGGAAATGGATTTAATAACAGTAACACAAGTTATAGCTCTAATGGAAGTCTGAGTAGTCTGAGTCCAACAATAAACAATAATTTTGGAAGTCCTCAGGGAACAGCAACTCCTGCAAGTATGATGCCATTTTCAACAGGCTTGAGCATAGGGACACATGACATTTCTCATGGCAATGCTTCTCAGATAATTGAAAACATCAAATCCATGTTACGAGGAAACGGATACTCAGAACAAGCTACAACTGAGATTACAGCTGCAATGAACACTCTTGCAAATTATGGAGTACTAGGATTGGGTTTAGGTCAGATGTTAAATAACATGAATGGTGCTACAATAATGAGTGGTCTAGGGATGGGATTGGGTTCCTCTGGTCCAAATACTTGTCCTATCCCTCCTGGAGGTATATCCAACCAAAGTAGTATGTTTACATCTTGTACAGGTGTACCAGGAATAGATATCTCTTGTAGCTCAATAGCCACTTCAGGTCCAGCAAGTGGAAGTTCAAGTATGTTTGGACCACTAAGTGGAAACATGAGTACAGGTATGTCAAGTCTTGGCATAGTACCTGGATTTTCATCTCCTACAGTTAATAGATCCAGTGAAAGATTTCAATTTCAAGGTGATGGTCCTGCTGTTTTTGATCCATTTCGACGTAGTTCTCCTTCCTTGGGATCACCTCATGCTCCTAGCCTGCCAGTTAACAACAACTCATTTGGACTTGGAACATGTTTTAATTCTGGTCCTGCTTCAGTGCACAAAAGCCCATCTCCAAGTGATCATCAGGGTGAAACAGCCAAAATAGAAGTTGAAGTTGGTGAGAATATTGTGGGTGCCATTTTAGGTCCAGGAGGAAAGTCACTTCTGGAAATCCAGCGACTAAGTGGAGCAAATATCCAGATATCCAAAAAAGGTATATTTGCACCTGGAACACGTAATCGTATTGTAACAATAACTGGCCCTTCAACTGCTGTCAGCACTGCCCATTATCTCATTGAACAACAAATCACTGGAGAAGAAGCCAAGAGAGCTCGTCAAAACTCTTTCGTAGCCATACATTAATGATACTGTCATGTTATAGTTTTATCAGGTTTCATTTTATCATAAACCCTATCAGTTTTCTTCCACATCAATGTTTTAGTTCTGCAGGGTTGTTGTGCAGTTGATGTTGTCATAATTGCTTGCTTTGCATTGTTTGACATAAGTGGCATATTAACTAATTGAATCCTTGAGTTTGTAATGTAATATATATAGATGTTCTGTCTATATTCACAACATGCTTACTCTTGGAATTTTTTGTAGCATTATTCCTTTGGATTGGTCCAGGAAAATGGATCATTCATCCACCACTTGGTAACTTGCCAGTTAGTCAGTGAACCTATTTAAAAATCTAAATTGTGGGCAGAACTAGTGTCCTTGTAGTATTGTAAAAGACTTATATAGGAAACAATTTTCAAATGACAACTAATCTCCAAATTTCTCAGTTCCTTTTGTCATTTGATAGTTTGTTTCATATTTCTTGTTTAAAATGTCATATTTACATAAATAGATTGTTTCTGAATGATTCTCACACATTTTACTTTCATGGATTTATATTAGCTTTCATTTTGTGCTATGTTTTCAAATATTAAGTAAATTTTGATGTTATTATTCATTGAATTTAGTCACTTGTTACACTACAGTTACAGCAAGTCACTTGCCATGTTGTAGTATTTTCCATATAATGTGTTTTTCATTCATTCAGAACCTGATGGTTACTCACTGTTAATCAAATACAATGAAACTTGAGCTCTTTGTTTCAAATATTTGTCTTTATTTTTCTTGAAATTTAATAATAATTCCATTTTCATGTGAAAATGTCCCCTGAATGGAAATTTTTGGTATCATGAGACTGTAATCTTTAATATATTGATGGCTTACTGTGTGGATTGAGAGAATGGCAAACCTTTTGACATGAAATTAGTCTGAACCTAGCAAGTGTACTTTTCACAAATTAAAAATGTCATTATAACTAGAGTATTTATATGAAGGTCATAATAACATTCATGCCACAATATACTGTATGTAAATTTCAGCATTCATTAGGAGCAATTTACAATTCATAATTACACAAGGACTTAACTGTAGGCCTTGTACTTGTAAAAAATGAATGAGCTTTGAAAAAAATTTGATAGTGAATAACCAAGCTTTCATTATCTTATAAGGAGAGAAATTTTAAGATTAACCAAAAAATAAATACTTTGATAAAAGAAGTTATCAATATACAATAATGTAAAACTGTTTATTTATCTTACAACATTTGTCAAAATCCTGAAGTAAATGTGAGCAATTTCAAAAGTATTCATTACAACCTATGCCATTACATTGAAAGCAACTTCATATTTTCAGTTGCCAGTGATTAATTTGTCAGCATATTTACTGCTATCTCATTACCATACTGCATTTGCCTCAGGTATGTATTGAATAATGGTGTACTTCCTCAGAAATGTTCAGATGACATTAGTTAATTAATTAACCACTCTAGGGCATAACAATACAATCTTTGAAATAGTGCTAAAACAGTTATTCTTAACTGAAAAAAGTGTTTTCAATAAATGTGTATATATTTCTATATAAATAGTCATGGATCTATAAATACTGATTACTTTGCATACACTATTTCTGCCAAACAACTTAAAATTTTACATGAATGTTGTGTATTGATTGATTTAACTGATTCTTTTTTCATTGATTTTTTTTTCTGTATTTAGCTTGTAGTTCCAAAACTGAGCTTTTTGTATACTTAACCTCATTGTACAAGATGTCTGCATCCTGGAAATTGCAATAAATAGTTCCTGCAATATGGTGTTTCTTTGCATTTCTTGTGTTTCTAAGTCCTAAATTGTTTTAATTTATATACATATATATACATATATATATATATTTATAGATGATGAAATGGTTGAAATACAACCTTGTTTCATCAGAAATTGCCCAGTCAATTATATGTAATTTATTCTATTGACTTAGCAACAGAGTCCTAATGAGGTTCAGATAAGAAGGGAATTATTGGTTATATGAGATGCTACCTTGAGCATAGTTTATATAGATTTTACAAAATGTCCAATTTTTCCTTGAACTTAGAGTTTATGCCATTTAAAAATATGTAGTTTTTGCAGTCTAAAAGATATTTGTATGAGTTTAATGCTCAGTGAATAGCCTCCCTACTTATAGGTTGTAACTGTTGTTGTTTTAAGTTGTCAGCAAAAAATGAATTAGAATGAATTACCTTAAGGAATAGTAATAAAGAAGAAAATATTAATCAGTTGGGACTGAATGAAAAATTAAAACATAGTTCAGTACAAATTAAGAAAATATATACAATGACATAATTTCATTAGAATTTTCATTACTTATTCTTAAAGATTGATTGTTAACTTTTGTTTTCTCAAATGACTACCTGAATATATTAGTAGATTTAAAAAGAACATTTAAGTAACTGTATATGGTTTGCATGTTTCATTTTTCTGTATAATGTACAAAATTTGGATCTGTCTCATGAAAACTTTTCTCTCATTCCCATATTTATCAAACAAGTTACTCTCATCAGCATTGCACAAAATAAGCAAAATATTCTTCAAAAGTAATGTTAGTTAGGTGTGTGAAATAATGTTTAAGTACAAAAATATTTAGTCAAGTAGTAATGATATAGAGATGTTAGTTAAAATAAAACAAATTTACTATTTGAAAATCTAGAATGTTAAGGCACCCAAATTAATCACAATAATAATCAGAAAAGCCAGAGTTTCTCACACCCCAAACTTTATACATGACTAACAACAGAAGGTACATGTGTTAAAAATATCCTTCAACACAGAAAACTATATACTTCATGTAAAAAGACTTTGAGGCTAATTAACAAAATAGAATGGCTGTACACTAAAACTTCAACAGTTAACCTGAGCATACTTGCACATTTTATACCAGGTATTTTCAAGATGCTTTCTATGACCACAACTTGTTACTGTTTAAAATTAGATGACAAACTTCTAAACACTCACAAGGTAAAGTAAATTTCAAATATGCCATAACACACCAAAAGTCAACCTCTTATTCTTGACAAGTCATATAATTCTAAAGTTTGATACACATATACAAATAATACAATAAATTATAAATTTTAGTACAAAACTAGAAATTACCAGTTAAATTGTCATTAAATATATGAAAAGTACAACTTACCAATTACCAGTTGTACAATAATTCAGAGGCAGGTGGCGAGGTCTCGCTGACCAATGTTCCCAACAGAATGGGAGGAACTAAGACTAAGACAATAATTCTTCATATTAATATATCCAGTACAGGGAGTTATTCTTCACTCCTACCCATATAAATTCTGATACATTTTACTATTTTCCTCACGTGAATTAAAGTTTGATCTAACATAATGATTCACTATACAGAGGTAAAAGCTTCTAAGATACATTTGGTAGCTGGAAAAAAGTCAAGAGTTGGTCAGTAAACTTCTTATTTTTATGTGTGTTTTCTTCTGACCTTCTTCAGTTTGTCCAAGTATGCCAAAATTGCTGCTCTAGTTGTAAAATTTTTCAGAATAAGCATACCCCAAAACTCACCCAGTTTTTTCCTGCCTTTAGTAGATCTTCGAACAAGCTTGAAACAATTCCAACTTTCATCCTTTCCCACGCAAAAAAATTGTTTGATTCATACATATCATCACATACTAGTATATAGATAGGTTGATAACCTACCATGGTGTTAAAAGTAGTTCAAATGACAATGGATGATAATAAGGCATTTTTAACAACTCAAACTACTACATTCTTCCCTTGTCACAAACAAGGCCCATTTTTAGGTCTGTATTCAGGGTTGTGGGATACTTCAATGTTGGGTACCATTGTGATATTTTTTCCATGGTTTTTTATATATAATTTATTGCTTTGGATTTTAACCCAAGGTCTTTCACACACACACACACCAAGTGAGTACTCTGCCAACCTAGCTAAAGGTGTAGCCCATTAACTATTGCTAAGTAAGGCATTTTTAACTACTCAAACTACTACAACATTTGTTCATTAATTAATTAAAATAATTAAATAGCTGCACAATCTGTTTTCTAAGAGTTGAGAAACTCATCCATTTTGAAGATGAAGAATTGCAATTACAGGATAAAGCTAATAAACTTAATAATTGTACAGTGATTCACCGACCAATATTTATTCATCGTCCCTTTTACAGCAGCAAGTAATATTACATAGACCAACTAATGTCAGCCACTGTAGAAATTAGAAAATATACATTTATTACCAGTAGCAAACTATTGGTAACCATGGATGTACTGTTTATTACCATATCATCATCTGTAAGTCAAAAATCCATCTCATTTAGTAATGCAAGAAAATGAACATCAACAAAATCTGGCATAAAATAACTTCTATGGCATAAAATAACTTCTATGATTCATGCCATCTCAAATTATTTCTTTTAGAGAACAACCTGTTTCACTATAAACTTGAAAAACATGTACAGACCATTCACACCTGATGGTATGTAAACATTGTAAAGCAAGTTTTCCTCTGGATTGCTGTAAGCATTGAACCACAAATAAACAGTGCCACCAACATAATATTTGTGACTGACTTGCTGGCAATGCTGTAACAAATGTGGTAATTAGTCCCCAGCTGTATGGCATGAAACAAAGACCATCACTTGGATATATATGCTAGATTATGTAGGGGTAAAGCTAAGCTAGAAAGATGACAAGCTCAAGGAGAATCTCCTTTATCAAATCAGGCACAACTACTGACAGAATATTGAACTCCTCTAATAAAATGAAAGTAGAAACCATGGAATGTCTTCATTGATATTAAGAATGAATTAAACTTCTGGAAACAAAGTACCATATGGTGTAGCTAGTAAAAGCAAAAGATGGGCAAGAAATAGTACAGTATACAGTTAAAAGGCCACTGGTAATATCAGTAAAGGGACTCATTTCTACCTCATGTGAGGCAGCTAGTCTCCACAACACTTGTCAGTGCCAACATTTGATGTTGTAACCTAGTAACCAGAGATTTTACATCAGTACTTCAGCTTTCACTTCTATTGCATTTTCTAACTGTCAACATTTTATACATTATCATCGTCTTTCTTAGTTTAAAAGTCAAGTGGTTCTAATATGCTAATTGACTTTACCATTCAACTGAAAAATCAATCCTATAGGTTAGAACATAGGATTGCTAAGTCATTTTGATTTTCAAATCTCATAGCTATCTTTTGAAATTCTATTGCCATTCAAATTACTACTAGTTGATAGACCTTCAACAGCCTGCTCTGCAGAATCATAGCAGAATTCCAGTCTAACATTGAAAACACAGGTAATGCTATGCCATTTTCGCCTTTAGATCATACCACAAAATAATGGCTACAATGTGTAGTCTTATGGCCACCCTATTGGCTGATAATTATATTAGCCCCACTATACCAGTTTGGAAGTCAGTACCATGGTTGATCTTCAGACCAAGTTATCTGCCAAACAGATAACTCATCAGCTGTGTTAAATCTATTACTACTACCCTCATCTGTCCTCCAAGATACCAAATGCTCCACTTTCAAGTAAGTAAGTCTACCTTTCAAAGCAAAACTTCAATTTATACATCTATTTTCACGTGCAATGTAAATATTGATTTCATAGATTAAAAAATTGAACTGTCAAAATATAAAATAAGGATTATTCTTATCACAACTGAGTTGTTATCACACTACAAATGTCTCTAGTTTTAAACTGGTATTTCTTCTCTGTCTTATCATACTCCCAATGTATGGCTGATTTACTTATTTGTTGATGTACAAATTTGTTTATACACATCAACTAATGCAGTTCTTAGCCTTTCCATATACCCATAGAGATAGTGTAGCCCATATGCACTGGAAGGTACACTATGCATTACATCTACTGGAACTAAACTTCGTGTATGATCATAAACAAGTTCAAGAAACAGCCATGACATTGTTGCTCCATTGCTTAATAAGCCATCATAACATATGACACGTGTTAATTTTAATCAGTTTAACAAACTATCAGACTGAGGTTGATATGGTGAAATGCACATTTTTCACCATACCTAATGATCAACACAATTAAGGAAACAGAATTTTAAAGGTTGATCCATTCTGATTTCTCGAATTACTCTGAATCGTGTTATTCACTCTTTAGCTAATTGACTGTGGTGAAGTGTCAGCCCTTTAGATAAATAATGGCTAGTGCATACCACCAACAGTTGCCAGACTCTGGGAGAGACCAACTATACTCAATGCAATGAAGAACCTAAGACTGTTTGTTTGAGATTTCCTTGGCATGGCCAGCTTTTTGTTTATGTAGAGCACAAAGTATAATGTTTATATCACATCTTCATATCCCTCCTTGAATATAGCCAATAAAAATGTTTTCACGGATTGGCTGGTTTGTTGGTTAATAGAATATCATAACTAAATGATGAAAAAGTTCCTTTCAACCTCGTATTCAGGCGACTTGAGACAGTATAATAAATTTTAAATTCTTATGTTACCTTCATAAGGAAGGAAAAAACAGAATTTATATAGGTTGGAGTCATAGTACCATGGAGTGTTTTTTTTTTTTCAGGGCTAGGCATGGCCTGGTGGTTAAGGCGCTTGACTCACAATATGAGAGTCGTGCGCTCGAATCTCATCATCGAACATGTTCGCCCCTTTCAGCCATAGGGGCATTATGATGTGATAGTTAATCTCGCTTTTTGTTAGTAAAGAGTTGGCTGTCTGTGATGTTGACTAAATGCCATTCCTTTAGTCAATCATTTCTAAATTGAGG